ATATATATATATATATATATATATATATATATATATATATATATATATATATATATATATATATATAGATAGATAGATAATATGGTTAATTTAATTAGGCTATATGTTAAATCTTATCTGTCTGAGTGAGCATTGCAATTTGATAGCAACAGTGCAACAGTTCAAGTGTAGTTCGTATTGTATCAGTTATCCATTAGATATCTATGTTGTCTTCTTTCTACGTTAAGTTTTCTTGAGAGTTGAGTCTCGTTCCTCTTTCTTAATCCTTGACCATTGCTCTAATCATAATGCTATTGTTCACAGATGCGTGAAGCTACTTTTATAGAGTTAGTCAGAGGATGACTTTGCCATATTGACGCATTTCCTATACGCAATGCTAGCTGTGGTCGTTGGCAGAAAGTTCTCCGACCACATTCATGTCCGTTGACGTTATTCGTGGACAAGGCGTTTTCTTTAAATTAATCTTTAGAACTATTTGCTTACTCATGCATGTAAGCTATCTTTAATATAATAATATGAATATAAAGTATAAGCTATATAGTATAATATAATAATAGTATATAATACACTGTATTTAATATATGTAAAATTACATGATATTGCTCGTAGTCGCCCTTCCCCCTAAATAGCGCCTGCTACGAAGGCTATTTAGTCTATCGAGTTCGTTTCGTTAACGATTTCGGAGTTTTCTCTATTTTCTATTTTGATGTAATGTCTCTTCTAGTTGAAAATGTTTAGAATAGTTGTGATGATGTGGTGGTGCAGAACCAGAGGAGTGCCTTCCACGTAAGAACTTAGTAAATCCTACTGCTATAGTAGAGCAGTTCCCTTTGCGTTTAGATGCAGCTTAGGGACGGTTATTAATAATGGGAGGGAGGGGAGCGGAACGGTGGGTGAGAAAAGGAGGTGGCTTCAATTATTTTTGCCTGAATTGGAGGCGGCCTCAAACTGAAAAATATGTGGCGACTCCAATTTTGTAATACTTTTCTACTCATTTTCAAAATATTTAAACCTTTTTTAGTTCCTGCAATCGTAGTTTCCATAGTTTATTACGTATACGCAATTCGCATAGGAGTCGGAGTAAATAACAACCATTTTGAATACTGGTCCCCAGTACTTGTCCCATTACTTATTTTACACCAAAAAATGTAACGAACTAAATGTGGGGGGGGGGTGTCCTAAGTTTTCTAGATGAAGGTGGGGGCGTCTTGAAAATAAAGGTCTTGGGATTGGGGGCGGCTCTAAAAAATGTTCAAAAATTTGGTATTTATCACCCCCTCCCATTATTAATGACCGGTCCCTTACTATTGTTCAGACATGATATATCATGGTATAAGCTGATAATGGAGTAAACTCCGATTCGTCGTTTTATTAAATACATGTTTATTATAGTTCTTTCTCATTAATAAAAATGATTTGGTAATATAGTTTTTGTGATATGTGACACATTGGAACGAAGTCCTTATGTCGCTGGTACCCATAATCCATAGTTTTGGCGTGAAAACCAATGGGGGCCCGTATGCCGGGCAAACAAACCGCAATGCTTAATAAAAATGTCGTAAAATGGGTAAAAGTAAACGGCATTTTTCGCAGGAATGCACTTTTTAAGGGAATGCCATTGTAATAAAAAAGGCTATGCACTAGTCAATTGAAATCCCGGCCCAAGTGCTAAAATCCCGCCCTATAACGTGGAAAAATTTCGCTTTCCTCGTTTTCATAAAATATTGTTGAGATACTGTATATCTCAACTATTAATCCACAACGATCAATATTCTTAGACTATTCGTTTAAACAATTCACAACGACTTTGTCATGAGCTCGTTTCAATGTGTGGCATAGTCCATGAGCCACCGTACCGTATCTCGCTATGACATAATTTCAACATGTCGCGTAGAAGTTATTTTTCCATGAGATAATTTCAATATGTGGCGTAGGAGAGATTTTTCCATGAGATAATTTCAACATGTGGCGTATGAGTTATTTTGCCATGAGATAATTTCAATATGAAATAATATTGTTGTCAAAGTTAGTGAGGCTTATGGGGGTGAACGTGAGAAAGGAAAAGATATCTGCGAGCCATCGCCTACCAGTATCAAGGTCTGCATGAGCCTACACAAAGGCGCACTCGTGGTAGACCTGGTATTCAAAGTACTATAGCCCTATAATAGTTAAATTTGTACGAAGAGATATGAGAGAACGATTCTACAGTGCTCGTAAAAATCTTAGGGATAAAACCGCAAAGGATTTAGGCTACCACAATGATAACAATAGTAACATCTACATAGCTGAAAGTCTCACTCAAAAGAACAGAGAACTTTTGAAGGAGTGTATTAAGGCAAAGAATGACCACATCATGAAGAATCTTGATGAGAAAGGCAGTATATAAATCCTTTTTGACTTAATTTATTATTCAATATGGGGACCTGTTCAAAGTGTCATAATTATTATAATGTAGAATATGATATAAATGGCAATGAATATTATAATTCTTTGCCTGGACTTGATATATCATCGACAATCAGCAATATACTCCACCTTACTACTCTCGATGCTGACTTACATATGCAATTAGTTGTAAACTTTAATTATTATGATGTGCATAATTTTCATGCTGACCCAGAGATCGCTGACTGTTTCAATGAAAACTGCTTTTCAGCAATTCATTGCAACATCAGAAGCTTATCAGCAAACTATGATAAACAAGACGCCTACTCAGGCGTTCACTCCGGGTACAGGGCCTTAACTAAGCGCAAAGCTACTTTAACGTATGCTCATATACGCGGCAATGAAGGTATCTTTAATGCATGATATTTAGCATATTAAAGTTGGAAAAGAGGAAGAACTACAGTGTAACCACTTCACCAGGTGACTAAAAACATATGCAATGATCATATTATTTTATAACATAAAAATGTCTCTTTTATCTCTAATAAAAGCTATCTAATTCTTTATTAAAAGTTCTATTTAAAACATGCGTAGGAGTGTTTTATCGAGTCGTATATAATAAGTCGGAGGCCGTATTTTACAAATATTTTATGTTTTTTTTTATTGTCGAGGGTAGAAATTCGAGGGTGAAAAGTTTGAGGGTATACATTTTAATAATTTAACAAAATAATAATTTTAGCTCGTGTTCATTTAGTTTACTTTTAATTTTTAGCTCTTATTTTTATATGCAATTATTAATTTTTTATATGCGATTACTTTTTATATGATAAAATATTACTACATGAAAACAGGCAAGCCGATCAAAAGCTACAGTCGAGATAGTTTCAAACGGCGTGGTGAATTATCTGCGTTATCTCGGATTGCATGTCGCAAATTATTGTATTGTCTATTCACTATATGGTCTATTGAATTAGAGTAATCAGGACTTGTTTACACCTTGCCATTGCCATACGCCTTTTCCGGGCTCGCGACGCCATCTTGAAAGTATTGTTTTCGCTATCGTGCTTGCCCCACTTGCAAATTTATCTATAGGGAATGCCCGCAAATTTCTACCCTCGACAATAAAAACCATAAAATATTTTAGAAATACGACCCCGGACTTTTTATATATGACCCTCGACTTTTTTATATGACCTTCGACGTTTTATATATGATTTTTCGACCCTCGCTTCCCGCCCTCGACCCTCGAGAAAAACTCCTGAAACTGAATTACGTAAACAAACCACATTTATCAAACACGCAAAGAAAATTATTTAAAAAGTAATATATTGTTAGTCGTGTCATATAGTTAATTGTCAACACTTTTTCAATGCATGGTAGTAAGTTCATAACTGGCACCATAACTCATAATTAACTAGTGTTATGTTGATATTTTGTTTATACAGATTGATTGTTTTAATTTGTAAGGCTTCGCTGTAAGTTTGTCATTATCAAACGTTTAGATTGTTTTAAGCATCTTAGTAATAATTTTACTTTAAGACCAAGACAATGCAGCCGTCGAGACCGATTTTTAATACTCTATAAATAAAACATTAAACTGTGTAATAGACGTAATAGTGTTGGGTAAAGCTATCTAGTTAAATATATTTTATATGCGCTTTTGTCTAATTCAAGCGTGGTAGACAATATTGCCAATATTGTTGTGGTTTGCGATATAAATTGCCTTGCGAATCGAAGACTTTCAGATATGTCATATGTCGAATAGATTTGTGCGTTGTTTGTACTTCAATTTTGGCCACGAGGCACAAAGGGAGACTTAAAGAAGACGAGTGTTAATACAATTTAACTACGTATAGTGTTGACACAATTAAAAAATACAGGCTAACCGTCAGTGACGAACCAAGTCGATCAGAACTAGCTTTGCAATAACGGCAACCGCTACTAAACACGCGAGGAAGTCTCGAATTTCGATTTGTATTTATATGAACTGTGGTCACTGTATAAAAACGAGTGTATGAGAACCCTTCATTTGATAATATTTACTGTAAATAGAACTAAATACATTGTAAACACAACGCTCGCTCCGACCTTATACGAATGGCGGCTATTTTTAGATATTTCGTATTTTTGTAGTGCGTTGCGTGCGTTGCGTACGCTGCACCTGTGGAAGTGCACACTTGTGTCGCCTAAGAAAAAAGATCTGACATTTTAATACTCCAGTACTTACAGTACCCGGAGTAATTAGAAAATATGAATTGATTTATATCATCCTTTTTCTATAATAGGCCTTACTGAAACTAAAATTAAGTCTGATCAGAATAACGTATATGTTTTAAATAGCAATGCCTGGGTATCATTTTGTGTCCCAGTCAAGTTTATCAAATGCTGGAGGAGTCGGAATGTATATTTCTGAGAACTATAAGTATACTGTTCCGTTATTTATTCAATTTATAGACATCCAAATGGTATATAATGCGGATACTTTTATGTAAGCGCTATCTATATATTGACTCTTCTATTGATAAAATTCAGGGCAGTATTGTGTTTTTCTGGGTGATTTTAACTTCAAAATCTTCTAAAATTTGAAACCCACGCTGTTGCAGACAATTTCATGAATATACTTGGTACATATTTCTTTCAGCCTCACATATTACAGCCAACACGAATAACGCATCATTCATGAGAGACATTAATTGATAATACATTTTACAATGCGTGGCAATCTAGTATATGATTTAACTGATCATTTTACATTGGCCAAACTTTCTAATCATTAAAAAATTTTGATCTTTAAACCTACCAATGTTAAAATATTTAAGAGAGATTATTCTAATTTTGATGAAACTGCTAATGATATACAAGTAATTGATTGGTCGCAAGCCTTTTCTGCATGCAATACCAATCCTAATGATATGTTTGACAGTTTCTATAAAACAGTAACAGAGATTGTTGATGCCCATATACCTATTAAACAAATGTCAAAAAGTCAGCTAAAATGTCAATCTAAACCTTGGATATTAAAACTTCTATTAAGAAAAAGAATGACCTCTATAAAAAATTTTTAAAAACTAAATCCCAGTATTATCATTTGAAATTTAAAACTTACAATCACCTATAAAACTATAAATCACCTTCTTAAAATAAGTAAAAGAAAATATTACAATGATTATTTTTGTAAAAATATTAATAATAATATGAAGAAAGGAATAAAACAGATTATATCTATAAAATCTCAAAATACAAAGAAAGAGAAGAATGAGATACTGATCTGAACAAATTGCCAATGCTTTAAATGAGTATTTTGCTAATACTGGAACTGGTTTTGCTGATGAAATTCCTAAAGTAGATAAATCTCCTTTTGATTACCTAACGTCTCATTTAACAGAAAGCTTTTATATTTCACCGGTCAGTACTTTTGAGATTGAGGAGGAAATCACAAGACTTCATTGCAATAAATCTTCTGGCCCTTTTAGTTATTTCTAAACCTTTAGATATACTATTTAATCTTCATTTATATTCAGGCATAACGCATTGTTCCTGAAAATTTTAAATTAGCAAGAGTGGTACCATGCAGTATTTAAAAGTGGGGCACGGTCTAATATGGGGAATTATCGACCAATCTCGCTTCTGTTCAGTAAGCTCTTAGAAAAACTCATGTATAATAGATTGATTGACTTAACAAAGGGATAAATCTATACTCTACCCAAAGCAGTTCGGATTTCGTGAACAATTACATTCCACAGATCATGCTATTTTGAGTATTGTTGATAAAATACAGAATTCAATTGACAATCGAAAGTATTCTTGTGGAATATTCTTAGATTTTAGTAAAGCTTTCGATACAGTTAACCATGAAATCCTTATTCAAAAACGTGAACATTATGGAATCAGGGGGGATGATTGGGATACTTCTTATCTTAATGGAAGAACCCAAGTAACTGTGTGCGGTGATAGTGTATCTACCAAGCAATCAATTTATCGTGGTTTGCCTCAAGGGTCCGTGTTGGGTCCTCTATTATTTCTATTAAATATTAATGATTTTAGTAACTGCTCTTGTGTACTTGATTTGCATCTTTTTGCAGACGGCGCCAATTTATTCTACTCATATAAAAAATTATCTGATCTTGAATTGATCTTAAACGTTGAATTGCAGAAAGTCCACATATGATTGTGCTCCAATATGTTATCTTTAAACGTAAATAAATTAAATTTTGTTATTTTCCATTCATCTCAAAAGAAACTGACTTCTACAGTGACTTTAACTATAAATAGTGAAATACTAAAAGAAGAAAAATGCGTGAAATATTCAGGACTTTATATTGATTCAAATCTTAATTGGAGAAATCAAGTTAATTACATAAAAAAGAAAGTAAATCATAGCATTGGTATCTTATCTAAAATACGTTATTATGTTAATATTAATACTCTTATTAATCTTTACTATTCTCTTGTATATCCATTTTTAATATATGGATTAATTGTATGGGGTAGTACTTATAATTCTACCCTTAATCCTCTCTATTTATTGCAAAAAAGAGCCCTGAGAATAATGACATTTTCCAAATTCTACGAACACGCTAGCCCTCTTTTTAAACAAACTAAAATAATAAAATTTCATGATCTTTTTGTTTTTGATCATAGTAATCTACTTCCGATCACATTTGGAAGTTTTTTTTTGTTAGTGTTAACGAAGTTCATGACTATAATACCAGACTTTCAAGCAAGATCTCTTACTCTATTCCAGGGATAAGGACTAATCATAGAAAATGTAACATTCGATTTCAAGGTGTAAAGGTGTGGAACGATATAGATGAAAACTTAAAATACCTTTCTCCCTCAGCCATTAAAAAGAAATTGAAAATTGACTTCATCGACGGATATTAGCTTTTTATACTCAGAATGACACATTGTTTGCCTTTTCTTCCTAAGGATGCTTTTAAACATTGAGTGGATTGTTTTTTCGAGTTTTTTTCTTTTTTCTTCTTCTTAAGTAACTTCTAAATTCGTAAACTTATTAGCCAATATGGTTATTACAGTTAGCAGGTACTCGTCTTGAATATTTTTTCTGATGTCATTCAAAAAGTAAATATTTTATTTTGGGTACAAATAAATCTTTTTGTCGTTGTCGTTGTCGTTGTCGTTGTCGTTGTCGTTGTCGTTATTGTTGTTCTGCCGACACTTTCTTTACAATATAATATACTCTTAAATGAAAGAAATGGGATAAAAGATGTAGGTGGTGTAAACTCTGGGCCATGCTCACAATTTCTCGGCCTGTGACTTATTTTTTAAATAACAATACCATGTTAATACCATGCAGTAATATACAATTACTTTATGGTTTCCGTGTTTGGATGGAATCACGAGCCGAAGGCGAGTGATTTGGCGCGCTTTTCTTAACTCGAGCAACATTCTCAAGTGTTTGGATCAGGCATTCAGGCCATCCAAACACGGAAACCATAAAGTAATCGTTTTATAAAATAACAACTTTCCGTGTTAAAATTTCAATTTAAAAATCTTTCACTTTAAATTTCCGTGTTTGGGGCCTGATCCGAACACGGGTTTCGACCATATACATGTTATTTTATAATGTAGAATAATGTTGAGCGTAACATCTAATATAATATAATATTTAACATTATTCGCCGAAGGCAAGGTGATTATCGGGGAATATTGACCGAGACGAAGTCTCGGTGAATATTCCCCGATAATAACCGAACCTGAGATAATAAACGAGCCTGACACAAGTCTTTTGCGTTTTTTGGGACTGAATTTATCTTAATGTCGCTTATTTCTTTATCAGTAACTTTCACAAAACGGCTAGCCACCATTTTGTAAATTTCGGTTTTCTTATATTCACCTGTAGGTGAATATAACAGCTTAATACGTAAAATTTGACCAATCAAATTGTAGGATTTGTTATATTCACTTGTGCAAAAATACCAAAATATAATGCAATGCAATGCAACGCAACGCAATGCAATGCAATGCAATGCAATGCAATGCAATGCAATGCAATGCAATGCAATGCAATGCAATGCGATGCAATGCAATCAAGGGTGGGTTGACTACAAAATTTTTGTAGTTCGCTATAACTACAGCTACTTCAAAAATATGTAGTCAGCTACAGCTACTGCTACTGTTGAGCACAGGTAGTTCGCTACTGACTACAGCTACTGCTTAAAAAATGTAGCGAACTATTTTGCTATTTCGCAACGCTATATTTTTTAGTTTTATTGTATTTGGAGCATATACTAACTCAGGCTGTAATGTAACCTATAACAAATTGCCTTACAAGTAGCAACAGTAAACACAAAGCAACATTTTTGTAAGCACTACAGTGTTAAAGAGTACAAATTGACTATTGAGTATTGATTTTGAGCAAACCGTGTCTCAATATCATGCTATTCTATCAAGTTTCTAACAATTTTAAAAAGTAGCGAATAGTGATTCGCTGTTTGAAAAGTAGTCAACTACTTGACTACTTTTAGGCAAAATGTAGTCGCTATAACTATACAGCTACTGTTTTAAAAAAGTAGTCAAAAACTACTGGCTACTTGAAAATTATAGTTCGATACAAGCGAACTACGACTACTTCGCTACTACCCACAAATATATTAGCCTACTCAGCACACTCCCTATCAGGGTTTTTCAGTGACTGGTTACATTAGAGCTGGAACTGGCGTGAAGCAGACCGAGGTAGACTGTGAGCTTACAAATGGCGCTTTAAGCAGCCGCTATTAGTCCATACCTCATTAATGATCTGCCCCCTGACCTATGTGCCTAACCCACCCTGTCAACTTTCCCTGTGGGAGGAAATCGGAGTACCCGGAGAAAACCCACGACTTTCGGCAGAGCGTTGACTTTTTTACTCTTTTCACATGAGGACTGGGTTCGAGTCACATTGAGAAATTCTCATTGAGAATTGAACCATCCTCGTTCCCAGGGCTTCTCGATACAATCATATTGCGGTCTCATATTACATTAGCCTATGATGTAAACATGATCGAGTCGAAATGTGCTCGAAGTAGTTGCTGTGATTCGAAACATCATGGTTTCTTGTACAGATGACCTGTTTCGATCAACACGCGCTTGTAAAGTCACTTCAAAGATTGGAGAAAGCCGGACTGGAAATTAAAGAGAAGCAATACGAAGCTCTTATCGTCTGCATGTTGTAAGGAACAAGAACGACAGGTCTAAACGGCGGTGTGTGTCTGTTTAATATAAGATAATATAAGTTATAGATAGATGTTATGCATGTCTCCACGAGAAAAGGATTTGAATTGCTAGATTTAAATCTATATTATGTATACAAAATCATGCGTGCGTAAATTTCAGCAAAAAAGCACAAGGTGTTTGGCCATATGACCACCCACCATGTCTATGAAATATGAATATTGAACACCGTTTTATATAGTACGTTTAAAACTTTATTCCCATGCCGGATAATCCTGAATCCTTCACCGATTACATGTGTGGGAAATGACGAAAAATAATAATTATGTGAAATAATTAACCTATAATATGTCTTTGACCATGAATGTGACTATGCTGCTTATATCTGACAGTCAAAACTATGTGCATGACTGCATGGTCCAATGTATGTTTGAGGGAAATTTTTGTTTCCAGACTTGAAACACAAGAACATGAAAGCACACCTTCTGTTTCAGATATATTGTCTTCTGCATCAATATATTACTATACATGTCCATGACATTAAAAATATGAAAATAGTTTTCCAGTTCAATATAGCTATAGCAGTTAAACCAGAATTTCAGAATACAGTTTCCAAAGCAAATTTTACGTCATTTTTGTAATGGGTTGTTTAAATCCATTTTTGCACAGAGTCACTGACGTCGTAGGGAGTCTCCTGAGTAGAAGCCTGCATATACATATACAAACTTTCAGTTTTGTCAATAATAATAGTTTATTTATAATTTCAATTCTTACAAGATTTGCAATAAGTCAACAGAATAAGTATTTAATAGTTGACAGGAAACAGTGTAAATTCATGATCTTCACATGATACAGTCTCATTCAATATGACACAAGAATTTGAGACCCTCACCTCAGGCATACCAGAGGCATTCACTTATTTGGTGTGTGAAATTCAGTGAAGTCCCCTGCAGCCGGGACAAAATGGCAAGGTAAGTTTCTCCGGTCCTGTCATCCACATGCATTCAATTGGAATTTTTACTTGATATTTCCCAAACCATTCCTTCACTGTTCTGTAAAAGCCTTTCCTAGCCGACTGCTTTATTTCAGCATTTATATACAACAGATAAAGCAATAAGTGAACCCCCACCATGACCTCGCTCATTCCCAACTTGGACACTGAAAGTAAGTGTCTTCCCTGTTTGCCAGGAAATGAAAGTGAATAAGAGACGATTGTCCTTGCATTCATTCCCCTGTGGTATGCCAAAGGTGCAGGGATTCAAATGACTGGTGCAATTAAATATGCTTATTTAATTAAAATCTATTAAAATTACTCACTCATAATACAACTGAGAAAATTCACAGATAGTAAAATTATACACCTTGTACATATAGTATATAGATTTATAGTACAGCACACCCTCATAATGCGCTATATTCTATAATTCCATTATAGAATATAATGGAATAATAATATAATATATTTGGCCATTTATAGGCCAAGTGACCAATACCAAAAGCATAATAAAACGCAATATATTACACCATTAAAACTTTACTATCGTAAATATATATTAAATATTTTATATTTACAGTGTGCTTGAAATTTTACAATTATACTTGAGCACAACTTTATATACATGTATAAAACAAGAAAATGTTATAAAAATAAGAAACTTTTTAATTAATAGCTTCATAGTTCTTCGATATTGTTGCTTACTTCTACTTTACAATTGTCCATTGTGTTATTTTCTTTCCTTCTGTTTGCAAATTATCTCCATTAATCCATAGAAAACAAGCATTGTACGTTTGTATTTCTTCGTAGTTCGAACGCGCACTCCTTGAAGACAGCCACATTGCCGAATATAAACATCCACTTGATGAATAAACTTTTCATATTTCACTCTATTTCCAACAACCAATCAAATCACTTCTGCCTTGATTTGTCCAAGGGCTTACGGCAACGCAGGCAGCCGAGAAGCCCTGGGAACGAACAGGTGGGCAACTTGTCGACGCTGACCCAAAAATAGCGGCTCATTTCTTCTTGAGTTGCCATTTTCGCGTCGAAGAGCAAAAATATAGACGACTTTCGGAGAAAATGTTAGCTGTTTACTATCAAATATGTTTGTGAAACAGTTGATAATCTTACTGAGGAAGGCCAACGGTTTCTGAAAAGCTAAAGTACAGTATGTCGAAATCAGCTTTGGAATAGACTATATTTTCACCGGGGAAACATGAACTAAATGGATATTTACATCAACACTAAATTTTGCTCGTGCCTACGGAGCTAGTTGGATTAAAAAAGATGTTAAGAAGTAAGTGAAAATGTGAACTTTGTAAATTATACTTTCATTAAAATGTTTCAGAAGGTCTTCTAATGCCAAATGACACGTGTGACAGATAATCTCAATATACCCGTATTTCAATGTTTATGTTGAAATGACCCATCTTTTTGAGGTATAGGCTATAACCGTATAGCTTAAAAATTAGTGTATGCTCATCACTTGCATGAAATTAGCTTTAAATCAAAGTTTTATCTATAGTCTTTTTATTAGAATTAAAATCATTCATGGGAAAAATGTGCCTAATTATAAGGGTTGAAATTGCCCTTGTAAATGTACACTATTTTTGACATGTTTGGGTTAGTATTTTGAAAAGGTGTTGGAAGGAAAATATGTCTTGAACAATACTGCTTGACCCTTAAATTATAACTAGTGTTATGTAAATCTCAGAAAATTGAAAAAGTCTGGTCATACACAATAGTTTGGATTCTATGAGGTCCCGAATGCGGCTTATTTCAATGTTTAATCTGTTTACCTGGAAAAACATAGAAAATTGAATAAGTCAAGAATTTGCATGACTATGCTCATCACCCAAAACCAAATTTTTCTAATTGCTTTTTCACCTGGGTTTGTGGCAATACCACAGTTATGTAACCACGAAAAATGCGCGCGGCACTTTTTTTGGACACTGAAGATGACAACATTTGATGTTGTTATATATTGCCATCCTCTTATCGTAGTATAACTTAACTTATTTTAGTGAGTTTGTTAAAGAATTGTGCTCAGTATATGCCTGTATTATCTGAGATTTTTTTCATAGCATTAGATGATAAATTTAAGTTCTGTTTTCTTTTATTTTTAGGTGATAGTATCTGTTCACATGTGTGTTGGTCCCGGTATCAAATTTTGCACAAGATTAAATTATTATTTCACATTCCTTTATTCAAAAATCCAAATAAATGGAATTCCAAACTTGTTTTTGTAAAAATAGAAAATATAACTTATTATGTGTTGTTCTAATAAAAAATATTGTTTTTGATATGCATATGTATATTTTGATATGCATATTTTGGAAAAATGTGTACCAGGAATACTGAAATCTTTCAGATTAGCTAACAATACCTTTGTAACGTATATAGCCAAGTGTTCTATCTATTTCTGTTCAGATTAAACAAATGATGGGTAAAATATTAGATTAGATTTTTGCAAAAAATTGAGCTTGCCAAGGAAGGGGGCCCAAATTTTTTAATTCAGCTCCGGCCGGCCCAACCATGAGATACCGCTCGGCACGGGCCTGGATATTCTCGATCGATAATTTTTCTAATTGTGTCTGAATATAAAGAAATTGTATCCTATGGGAGTAGGAGTAAGCACTGATATACACTAAGACTGGATAGTGCCTAAAACACTAACTCGAATTTGAAATATTACATCTCATGAAACAAGACAAAAGGCTATTCGCTAACTGTTAAAGATTCACGGGAACAAGGCTCCTGGGCCGATCAGGGACTAGAGACATGTGTATCAAAATTATTTATTTTATTCATTTTGAACAGCTAAACCCACAACACGCTTAATCTACAATATTTCTCCATTATTTAAATGGCAGAAATACAGAATAAAAATGCAGATAGCATTGACAACAACATGAGTTGATAAAGATCTTTAATGTAATATAAACTAACACAATGACTACAGGTGTATATTGACTGTTGTACTCTTGATAACTGATGGGTAAAGCTTCATAGCATTTACAATCTTGTGTTGAATTTGTACAATCTTCTGTACAACTCACTGAAATACTATATACAAAATTTATAGTGAATATTTTGAAATCAATTTCAGGGCTTTGGTCACAATATATATATTGTACACATTTCATTTTGCATTTGAAACAAATACTATACACTACATCAGATAATATCAATGACATGGCTTTCTGTTTATTTGGTTTCATTCTGCAACTCAGCCACCCTGCATGAAACCTTCAAACCGGAGAATACATTGGCCAGAGTGCATTCCATTCACTCCACGCCATTTATATCCAGCGTGAGGTTACAAAATTGCCGGTGTATTGGCGTAAGATCACTCAAAAAGAAGTGATAAGTGTAACTACAGTAAGTTTACTTGAATTGATTGTCATACAGTATGTATATTCACAGTATAACTTCACGAATATGATGTTTAACAGTATATATAAAACATGCCAGGTTAGCCATTTTAACATGGATTTTGGTCCCCAAAGTTAAAATCTCCAATGTATTGGCTTAAATTATCGTATATGTTGGCGTATCTCCGGCGTAGTTTACATGGAATGCACCCTGGCCAGTTGGTCTATTTAAACCAAATTTTCCAGGCCAAGCATAAAATGTCAATTACAAAGCACAGTGCACACTATCCTGTTATGCCGCTTATTAAACCTACTTAGTCA